CGTGGCAAGGAGTAGGGTCGTCTGTCCAACCTCGTGGGTTTTCTCCGGGTCCTCCGGTTTCCTCCCACTGCTAAAGACCCCTACGCGCAAGCGAAATATTGAAATAAAATTAAACCATATGTTAGTCCCGAAATGACCTAGTTTGTGTCGAGTGGACGTTAAACCCCATTTCTCTCTCTCTCTCCTCTCCTTAATTCCGTCACACTACTTTATTTTTAAAACAAGCTACATACATGCAGAAGCCTACCAAAGATTATGTAAGCAGGCTTATATATGATAATAATCAGTTATTTTGAAAGGTCTTTTCTACAGTTTCTCTCTTTTAAAAAATCAGGCATGCAGAAAATCAGGACCATATTTGTTTATGAAGCAATAATAAATATAACTAGACCTGCATGGAAGTGCTGAATCGACTTTCAGGAAACAAACAGAATGAATAATACGAGATTCCTTTCACCTGGCTATCTAACGATACTTTAGCTGTTCTTCTTTTTGGTAATATCCAACGGAGAAGTTGCGGTTTTCGCAAAAAACACCTTTTTTTTTTCAAAATATCTTAGCAGAAGTTTGAGAAACATCCATTGAGCAGTTTTGAAAAAAAAAAGAAAAATAGAAGAGCATTTTCAGTAATTTAATGGTTTTTCAACTTTTTTCAAAGGTTGAGGCCTTTTTTGGACCATTTATATAACTTCAAGGCTTTTACAATTGGATGCACAACCTTGACAACCGATAAAGGCGTCTCAGAAGGCTCCAAATTGGAAGATTCTATATTTTCGGAGTACCTTAATTTATTACCTAACTATCGAATTCACATCAATTGAATGCCATATGATGGTCCATCCATGGGACAATCAAACAATCAAATTTTTCGTATGTGCACCAAATTTTTTTACCTTTTTTACGCTTTTTATACGCCCACATTGAAATGTGGTTGTACATTGTCGTTGGTCCGTCCGTACATCGGTCCGGCGTCCACAATTGCTTGTGGACACTCTAGAGGCTAAAGTCAATATCCGATTGACCGATTGACTTTAAATTTATACACAGTGTTTAAAGTCTTGAGACGAAGAAGCCTATTGATTTTCAACGATTTCCGATAATTTCTGCCAGAGTTATGGCCCTTGATCACTTTGAAAAATCTTGTAGACGTTCTACAGGCTAAAGTTAATATCCTATTGACTTTGAATTTATACAGTGTTTAAGGTCATGAGACGAAGAAGCCTAGTGATTTTCAATGATATCCGATAATTGGGGCCAGAGTTATGGCCCTTGATCACTTTGAAATATCTTGTGACGCTCTAGAGGCTTATGTTATTATCTGATTGACTTCAGATTGATACACAGAGTTTAAGGTCTTGAGACAAACAAGTAATAAGTATATTGATTTTCAATGAATTTTGATAACTTGAACAGCTAAATCCACGATATTAAATGTTTCGTATGCTAAAAGTTAGCATGGGGCAGAACTTTATAAAAACCAAACAAATTCTAATGATTTTCTGATAATTACTTAATGAGTTGTTTCTCTTAATCAGATTTTAGTGTATTATAAATGTTGTTGACTTCCTGGACGATTTAGCTGCTGTGGGCGTATGTTTCGTTGCCTGGCAACCTATCTTTGATAATTTGAACAGCTAAATCCTTGATAATAAATGTTTTGTATACTAAATGTTAGCATAGGCCAAACAAATTCTAATGTGTTTCTGATAATGGGTTGTTGCTCTAAAATCAGATTTTAGTGTATTATAAATGTTTTATTATGAATAACAACCATGTCCAAGTTAGAAACCATTTTGTGGTATCTGTATGATCGTATGGGTTAATTCTATTTGTTGTTTGGAATCAAGTATCGTAATTTTAAAAACATTACAAATGAGACTCGTTTGAATAAAATATCTGTCTTGAAGGCTAAAATATAGTTTTTGCCCAAATGATGTCATTTCTGGTGACAGTGAAAATGTTAAATTGGTTTGACCTAATCAAAATTGGCATTAGGTTTCAAATGGTAAAAAAAATTTAAAATCGAATGATAATTGACTCTTTTACAGGCAAAATAACATGAAAAGTGAGGCATGCAAAATTTCCTATTTCTCGGTAACTGCACATACATATATTTCAAATTGATTTTCACATATATTCTCTTTGTATGGATTATTGCTACGAGTTTATGAATGTTGAGAAAAAATATTTTAAAATATGAAGACGCTGAATGAGTTGTAAATAGCTTAAAGATACATTATGTAAGATTTAGATAAAGAACTAGCTATTCTTGCTGTAATAGTTCGAAAGTAGATGATGTAAAATGAATAATTTGAAAATTTCATTCAAATTACTCTATTGCAAGCGAAGATATTAGCCTTTGAAGGTTTGACAGACGTGTGCAATAATTTCAACCACCGTACTGGTTGATTGAAGCTAAGTCTCAATCCTCCATATTTGATTAAATCAAAGTATCGCTGAACCATTCTAATCTATTTGATATCGGAGAAATCTGATGCCATCGAGAGTTGATTAAGGCCTGGATCAATTAATTAATGTCTAATTAATACTTTAGAAAACATTTCAGGCCTAAAGAAAGACCTGCAATAGGCAGATTTAGCTTATGCATAATGCATGTTTAATTTTGTACATCTTTTCGCCTTTTAATCGAAATAGCCCGAAAACGAAATCAAAATTTAAAAAACTAAGCCCGATGTTATGTGCGCTCCCTATCGGTTATACCAGATTTGAAAAAAATAATATTTGCTTTCAAAAACTGGTACCGAACTGTCAAAATTGTAGTTTTTAGTAAAATTATGTCACTTCCAGTGCCAACAGGAAACTTTAACGGTAACAAAAAAAATTACATTTCGGAAAACAGAGCATATGAACTTTGTTTTATGCAAATCGAACAATAAATAATTTATCTAGGACCGAATAACTGAATTTGCCAATGTCGCCTAATGCAAATTACTGTAGCTATTTGCCCTGTCTCCGGCTATGTCAAAATGTATAAAATGTTAAAATCCATCGATTATTGTAAATATAATGGCGATATTTAAAAAAATGACAACTTTGGTGATTTCACACTGTCGCAGAATATTCAAAATAGATTTAAGTCATGCCAACTTTCCCAGTAAAACCAAAGATATCAGTTCGATTCGACAAGTAGTTTCTGAGATAAGCTCAAGTGGAAAATAAAACGGCCAATGTGTTTGATGATTGTTTTTTTTTTAATTAAAAACAATCATCACTAGAACTGCGATGCAGTAATGATGGGTTTCACCGGTGCCACGTTACCTTTGAACTCATGTCACTTCCGGTACCAATGAAACTGTTAAAGAGTTTTCCACATAAGCATTGCACACTTGTTATAAAATGGATGCAGAATCAACCAAATCCTGCAATATCATTTCCATTGATACATTTGTTACCATGTGTTACAACTTACATTATGTCAAAAAAGTGATTCTGACAAAATTTGTTATTAACTTACCGCCAAGTTAGCTGACTTTCTAATGGAAAATTTAAGTGTAAAAAATTCTTAAAAAGTGGTCCTGACACTTTTTGGGCAACTATATGATCGTATTGATTCAATCTATATGCCCATTGGAATCTGGGTGATTGGATGACCGAATGGTTAGCACACACGCGCTGTATCATAGGATCTGTAATTGAGTCAACTGGGGGTGGCTTGGATTCCCCGGTTGTACGTGAAAAGGAGTAGGGTCGCCTGTCCAACCTCGTGGGTTTTCTCTGGGTCCTCGGGTTTCCTCCCACTGCTAAAGACCCCTATGTGCAAGCGAATTATTGAAATAAAATTGAACTATATGTTAGTCCCAAAATGACCTAGTTTGTGTCGAGTGGATGTTAAACTCCATCTCTCTCTCTCTTTCTCTCCCCACTGGAATAAAATATCATAACTTTACACAATAATATTAATAAATATAACTCACTTCAAAAAAATATTTGTTTTGAAGGCTAAAAATACAGTTTTTGCCAAAATGACATTACTTTTGGTGATAATGAAAATGTTATATTAATTCTATGAAATCATAAATGACATAAGACATCACATGGAGAAAATTTTATGAAAATCAGATAATAATTGACACTTTTAATTGTCACAATTTTGATCTGATTTTGATATGAAGCTTAAAATATGTTTATATCCCGAACATCAAGGTTCCTGTAGATTCACGCATATTGGACTGCAACTTCCTTGATTATGTTCCTTGATTGTACAAAAATTGTTTCTTTTTTTTTGTTCTCTGTCCATCTCTTGGAAATTGGGGGCGTATCTTGCAAGGCGAACTTTGAAATCGGGTAAAATGTTGATGGTAAGCATTTAACTCAGCCATTTGATGCTTATTCTGAAAGTTTTACAACAATCGATCTGGAAATGTTTTTGCTATATAGGGACTTTTTGACAGATTTTAATCCCTTTTTTCTTTAAGATTCTTAAAAAAAAAAAAAAAAATTCAGTACAACAAAACATATTAATCTACTAGATGTTGAAGATAATGAATAAATGTATGATTGGCTTGTATAAAAACTATCAAACCTTTTAAGAGAACAGGACAGGTCTAGTTAATTTTAAAATTTATTTGAGCTCAATCAGTTGAAAATTGCAGGCTCAGTAACACTTAAAAAAACCTATGTCTAACTGAAACTGAGTTAAACTTTTAGCTTCAATAAAATTTTAAACTATTTTTAGACATTTTGGACATGCATGTGTAACTTACTCAACTATCTTAGTACTTAGTAGAATTCCCCTCTTCAATGGTTTATCTCTCGGTTATTTATTTCTCAGACAAACAAATGTTTTTCCTAACCATATGGATGTCTGGGCTTTGCAATGGTACCAATTATTGGCATATTTATGAAACAAAAACCCCCAAGATAATTTGATTTGTCAATATGCTCCTTGAACAGAAGTACATGTATTTGAAAGGTTTTCAATACTATTAAAGACAAAAGTAATATAGATATTTTATAAAAGCTTTGTTATTTTCTTTTAGATGTATATGTTCATCAGCAACACGTTTACAAGATGAAAATGCTTCCAAACCTGGTTGGTTTACGAATCTTTTACGTGTCCGAACACTAGAACCAAGTAAAGAGTCTCACTCAAGTCAGCTATCATCCAAAGAAATAGTCTATGAAATTCAATGTAAGACAAAAATTTATATTTTGATATGGAAAGTTGTTATATCATGTTATCTTTGAATGGCTTAGAAGAAATTAGTTAAATTGTCTTAATTTGGTATACAAAATTTTAAAGACACAAGCCAGATCATCCATATAGATCTTCAATATCTGAAATATGCACTGTTTTAATGTAAAAACTGGTTGTTATTATATAATTAAGCACATACAAGTATAAAAAAAGATTCATGAATAATGCAAATGAGCTGCTTTGTATTAGAAAAGATAGCAAATTTGTCTGTCACATGAAGATGGCAGTGGTAAAATCAGAAGAAACGTATACAAAATTCAAATGGCCATTATTTCAATTAAAATTCATCAATTTTTATAATTTTTGGACTAGAATTGTTTAATATAAAAACTTCTGTTTATGGTCTTAAGCTCTATATTCAACATTTATTCTGGCATGCTTGTCTTTAATAGAACTCCTTTCACATTGTTAATTGTTTAGTCACAATCAGATCATAATGTACCAAAGTTAACGTTTAAGTATATGTCACAATCTGAAAGTAAGATTTTTGACCAACATTTTACATATATCTTTGACATTTTCAATTTCAGTCCATGCAGTTAAACCTGAAGCTATGGAATCCTACCTTCAAGAATTGTAAGTAATACAGGATTTATAATTTAATAAACATGTAAGAAAATCGCATAACATTACAATTACATAGCACATTGAAATACAATGTTACCATACCAACCGAATGCAGGAGATTCAAACATTAAAACCAATGTGATATAAGCTTACAGTATTAAAATTCTCTTTTTTATTTGACAGTTCCAAGTTTCAGGCATTAATGCAGAACAAAGGAAGTGGTGCTAAATTAGTTGGTAGTTTTACTGTAGAAATTGGTAATCAAGATGAAGCTAGTAAGATGTAGTTTTATTTTTTAATCATTTACCTGTACATGTGTATTCATTTCTGTAACACCTGATATCACCTTCTCACCAATTGAATTTGACTAAAATAGTTTATTGTTTCTATTAGTTTCCTGTTAGAGGGGCACTTAATACTTATTATGTCTGTTTTAAATTTTCATTATGTTCTGTTTTAAATTTTCATTATGTTCTGTTTTAAATTTTCATTATGTTCTGTTTTAATCATGTGAATATGTTTTATTTCAGTACATATTTGGGAATATGATGGTGGTTACCCAATGCTCAATGAAGCCAATAAAATATACAGAACCGACAAGGTAAACAGAGGGGTAAATAAGAAGTACTGATGTGAATGATTATTCCTAAAATAAAAACCTAATTGGGATCCAGGTTCAGCCCAAGTAGGACAGTAGATTAACATGTGTGTGGTTCCCAACCAGTGATGGGATTTCAAAATTTTTCTTGGCGGACATTTTTAACGAAAATAAAGGGACATAACTCTTATCGTTATTTAAGAAGGCAGTTTTTAGACAACACACAAAAATCATGTGTTGACAAAATATTCAAATTCGTACATAATAAAAAATAGGTGCACCTCAGTATTTTTCATATTTAATAGTAAATGTCGCGCTACCTCAACGAGCGAGTGACACCATCTGCTAAATAATCGCATTCGACTCTAGGACGCGCTAAAACAATTAAGTACTTAAACTATTCCAATCGACATATTCGTCAACATTGCCTAGCGTACTTATTTCTTTATTTAAAAACATAAACCCCATTCAAAATATAATCATAAATCCGAGAATATGCCTTCATAATAGGCGCGTGAAATTTGTCACGTATTCATTTCATGATCAGTTATTGTACTATAGCCGCTACTCGGCAAACCTCAGCAGATTCCAGTTTTTTAATACAAATATTTCAAAGTCTGAAGCTGTTTTTCTTTCAAATCTATCAGATTTTCTGCAAACAAGGACAACTTTTTCTCTGAAAATTCTAAGCATGCTTCGAACATCGTTTATAACTTCTTTTTAAAACCGGCAAGTTTTCCTAATAAGTAAACCGGTGCCACATCGCAATTGTATAGGCGTAGGTACATATCACATACTGTCGTACAGCCAAGGCTAGATGTAGAGTAACAGAATCTGCCGAGGTTTGCCAAGTGCTATAACCCTTGTGCAATCAGAAACAGAGTTACCAATGTCTAGTATTTTCTGGATGTGTGTGTGTGTGTGTGTGTGAAATAGCTTTATTTAACGCTTGCTTCCACCGAAGTGATATCGCAGATGAGTTATGGATACATATTGATTTGGAGTGTTATGTACAATTAGGATATGTGACATAAGGAGATTAAAACATCCGACACTGAGGAAATCATGGGTCAATCACGTAGCTTAAGTTTATAATCACTGTTATTGGATTGATACATATCCCGACAAAGGAGAAGCAATGACTTCTGTTCAGGATTGGATTGATGAATTGTCCGATAAAGGATTAAGGCAGATTAACTAGTTAATCAAAGTAGGTGTTTGGCGTATAACACGATAAATACGTTGATCACTTAATTACCTAATCGATCCAGCGTGTTATCAACGATAATTGGGTTGAGTGGTAGTTATACACTCAGTAAACTATATTAATTTTGGAATTTTGAATATTATTCACCATGTCTTCATGTCCGATTGTGCATATTCCCGGTCTGACAATAACGTCGGACAAGTCCCATCCCTGTTCCCAACACTGTAGGGCAGGGGTTCCCAACGTTTTTTCATTTTGTTTACCCCTGGCAATTTGTGTCTGCATACATTTTTTTCTCAGTCAGTATGAATTATTTCCAATTATGTTTTCTTTAATTTTATAACCGATAACCCCAAATGAAGATCTACCATAAATTAGAATTGGTAGGTACTCATTAGCTGTTGTAATTTGTAAATAAATTATTTATTGGCTATATGCAGATATCTAATGTTGCATTTTGTATTGAATTATTATTTTCAGGAGTTTATTGATTACAGAAAACATAGGAATCACATGCTGCGCTCAAGAAAGAATCAGATTTTATTGTCATTTAGCTTTTGGCCAAAACCAGTGCCACGAGAACCTAGTAATATATATGAATTAAGAAGCTATACATTGAAGGTAAGTGTAATGTAAACCTAGTCTCAGTCACCCAGAACCTCCTAGTCTTCAACGTATGGAGGGTTTATGTCGGTTGTCCTTTGCCCATGCGTAACTGGGAGGTTTTTTTTTTTAATGTGGTTGATTAGCCAGTAAATTTCGCCAAGTCAAGTAAGGGTTGCACCCCTTCCCGAAATAAATCGCATAATTCATGCATTATTATAAACAGACATGAAAGATAAATTTTACAATAAAAAGAATAAGATTGTTGGATATTGAACAGGCAATGCAATTAGATTTTCTGAAATGGCAATTCTTATTTAATTTCATGGGCGTAGACATCTGGTTTTCTTTGTTGTTGTCCAGCCAGTAAAAGAATTTTGAAGTGCTTTTATTACCTCTTGGTCGGTAAAGTTTACAAAAAGTAACCAATAGTCATGTTTATCAGGTTACTCAATAAAAAAAAAATGTTGGTCAATGATATAAAAGAGTTAAGTGACCCCTATACACAGATTTTTTAAATCATTTCCAAGATGGATAGACTATTTCTTCTCATTTTAACATTTCATTTGTATTCTTAAAGTGTGTATAGCTCTAGCTCAATATTACCCAAATATTTGACATTAAGAACATAACTTAGAATTCAATATAGATCCATTTCAATCAATATTGAAAATACAATCTCCTAGTATTAACTGGAAATAAATATTGGAGACGATGAACTTTCTAAATTCAGTTCCCTATGTCAGGTTCTCTATGGTAGGGGCCAAAGTGCCATTAAATACCATTTCTTTTTCTTTACTTGTTTAAAATGCTGATTTTTTTTATTTTTATATTGCAGCCAGGAACTATGATAGAATGGGGTAATAATTGGTAAGTATTTAAAGACTGACAATGATCATTTTGTTTATTTAATAATAGTTTAGCTGTATGTTAATCAGATATGTTTAATTCCAGCTCTTATCATGTTAATAAAGTTGTTTATAATCTTAAAGGTTGTTTATAATTATAAAGATTGTCAGATTCGTGTGGATTTCAGCATTAGATATGAATACAAAATACTTTGAATAGCACCATAATAACTGTTTGACACTATCTTGAAGGGCACGTGGTATACAGCAACGACAGACTAACAATGAACCAGTCGCTGGATTCTTTTCGCAAATGGGCGATTTGAATTTTGCCCATCATATCTGGGGTAAGGGCTGACTTAGAAGAGGGTTTACTCATATACTAATATTTGATATTTGCTGTGGAGTTACTACTGTTTAGTGCTTGATAAATCTGTAGTTGTTACTTATTATTAATATACAGTTCTTTTATTATTCACCCATGATGTGTTTATTATCTACACCAGTCACATTTTCACTTTTTAGAATGTTTTACTTAATTATTATAGACTTATGCATCATATCAGCTCATAGTCTACAAATGATGTAAATGCTGCTAGGATGAAATTAGGCCCTAACATTCTAAATAAAATTCTGAGTTTATTAGCCCCCTGGTACATCATGGTTTTAAACAATTTAGCACAAACCTTACCAGCCTTGTAAAAATTATAATAAAAAATAGACATGAAAAGATTGAACATTGGCTGATGTATGTTGATTTTGTTCTGTTTATATAAGTAATTATTGGAGATAAAATTTTGGTACATCATTTATCTATTTCAGTATACTATTAAAATTATCTTTTAGTTAACTTTTAACTTTCTAATGATTTTCTCAGAATAAATTTTTGTCAGATTATGACTGGCAAAAGAAATTGTTTTACAATAACATTTAACAGGAATCAATGTATAGCAATATGAGTTCTCTTCAAAGTAAAATTCATATAATTTCATCTCCACTAATATCATTTAATACAATTTTTTTTTTACAGCTTTGGTTAATTCTGTTCATTTTAACACTTAGTTGCTTTTTCTTGTTTGATCACCCATATTGTAAATGTTTGGTACCTTTTCTAAGGGCTCGAGGTATAAAAAGTAGACAGCAAAATGAAGCCCCTGTGGCCGGATTTTTCTCTCATCTTGGAGAGCAGTATAATGTCCATCATTTATGGGGTACGTAGTACTAAAACTAGTTACATAATTCATCTAATATGAGATTTCTCTTGATCAGACTTATCATTTTGCTGGTTTAGGGATTTCTTAAATTTCAAGAATAATATAGTTAGTTTCTTACATAAATATATTAATAATATTAATACTAAATCAATAGGTTAAAATAATCTAAAGGCTGCAGACATTTATCTAAAATATAGGTTTATAAATTGAAATTTAACTTTAAGAGTACAACATGAGATATTAGAAATGTAATCTTGATGAAACATGACAATAATACCCTGTAGAAGTAAGTCTCTGTGCATGTATGAAAAACAGTGTTAAGAATTCTCATTGTAGAAATTTAAGAGTTGCTTCAGATTTGTGTACATAATACCTTCCTTTCTAGTCTGGCGGTTCAGTGCGTGGGGGTGTCCATCAAATGGGCACGAAACCGAACCAAACTTTTCTATAGTAAAATTTTGGGTAGTAGACGTTGCCGAGTGGAAATCAGTTCGCTGTTGGGGCGTTTTCGAGATATTCAGCCATTCTTGTATCATGAAACATGCTGAAAACTGATCGAAAGTAATCACCCTTTCAATAAAAATGTAAACTTGCTAAATTCACCTTTGTTCTTTTTTGACCTCAGGTCTAAAGGTCAAATTTTTCGTTTTTGGACTAGGAAGATTTAAAGCAATAAATGTCAGCATAAAATATAAAAACTAAAGCGAAACCAGTTCTAATTAATGATAGGAACATTTAAAATTTATCTTTAGGTGGTCTTAGCACCAAACTTTTACTTTGGAAAGTCGAAAAAGATCTTGCATAACAGAACCGAAACACTTTGAAACCTGTTTCAAAAATACGTAAAAAGTGTCAAATCAAAATCGCTTCGATTTAGTTTTACAACGATTGTCATACATAATGAAACTAGTTGTCCGAAAAAACAATTGAATACCCATGCCCATTTTCTATTTGTGTGACTGTGTGTCGCCTACCTACAGGCCACAATTCTTAATCGATCTCTTGAAAAGATTTCATATGAATTCCTTTTACTCTAAGGATGACCTCTATTATTTTTGGTGCATGCCCGACCCCCTGGGACAGAGCCACGCCTAATGTTTGTGTGCCTACTGGCAGCAATTCTTAACAGATCTTTTTGAAACTTTGCATACCTATTCCTTTACCCTAAGGATGCCCCCTGTTGTTTTTGGGTGATTGTCCAACCCCCAGGGACAGAGCCACACCCATATTTTCTTTGTGTCTCTGTCAGTTGCCTACAGGCCACGATTCTTAATGGATTGTTTTTGAACTTGGGATATGTATTTCTTATAGCCTAAGGACGACAACTGCATGTCCCGACCCCCCGAGGCAGAGCCACGCCCAATTTTTGTGTTTATCATTTACAGGCCGGAATTCTGAATGGATCAACTTGGTACTTGGCATATGTATGCCTTATAGCCTAAGGGTGTCAACTATTGATTTTGGTGAATGCCCAAACCCCCCAATGGCAGAGCCACGCCCAATTTTTGCCTTTAGCACCCGAAGGCCACAATTCTGAATGGATTATCTTGGAACTTGGTACACTTATTCCTTATACCCTAAGGACGGCAACTACTAATGTTGTCATTTCAATAACAGGGTGGTATCTATTTATATGGTTTCATATCCAACCCCTACGGACAGAGCCACACACATTTTTTGTATTTATCGTCTGCAGGCTGCAATTCTGAATGGATCATCTTGGAACTTTGCATATTTATTCCTTATACCGTAAAGACATCAACTATTTATTTTGATGCCTCCTGGGGCAGTGTCACACCCACTTTTTTGTTAGTATTTTGTCTGTAAATTTGGAAAAACAAACCCCAACGCTTAGCCTTCTTTGCCTCTGATCATATTACAGCCATTTCATATTTCATTCTCTTCATTTTAAAAAGTACCATATCAATCAAATCGGGAATGTGGATGTATATTGCAGCGTTAGCGATGCTCTCGTTGTAGAAAGCAGGGGATTATTGAAATGGGCCTGTCTGTCACAACATTTTGAACGCAATAGCTCTGCTTCTAATTGAGGTCGAATATTTAAACATTTTTTTGAAGTTCATTTGGTGAAAAGCCTTGACTTGATTTCGATGATGACCATTTTTTGCTTAAGTAGTTTGATTGAAAGAGAATTTGGAACACAATAACTCTGTTTAATTTTGATGAAGAATGTTTAAAACTTTGTTCACTACACTTTTTCTGTTTAGTCTAAACACAGATAAGCTATTTGATTTCTCAGTGCTTTGGAACACAATGACTTAAAATCTAATTGATTGAGAGTAGAGTGATTAAACATCATTACATCATCAGTACCTTGACTGATTTTGATAGTTACCTTTTTAGAGTTTTTTGAAGCATACTGAAAGGCCACTAAACTTGCGGCCATCAATTTTACTGCCTGTGCCTCTTTAATGATGTTGTTTTTCTGTTTACATGATTAAATGATTCTGTTTATTTTACAATTTGATTTTTACCACTTATATTTGTTGTACCAGCATTGCATGAAATGTTTTTTTGATAGACTATAGAGCTAAGAAGTTGTAAACCCCCTCAGGTTATACATAATTCAGATAAATGTTACAGAGTTCAGTTTGCAAAAAAATCAAGCTTGTGATTTTAGAATATAATTTCAATCATTAAGAGAATCAAACTTTTGATTTATAATACAATTGTGAATTGACTGTTTCTACTAGTAAAACAATAAAACACCGAACTGATAATAAAATTTCTACAAGACAATAAAAAAGATGTGATTTTATAATAATTTAATTTTGACATTCAAGAAAATTAAAATTGTAGATATTTATATCTTATGCATTAGGTTATAAAGATTTACAGACCAGAAAGGAAACAAGAGAAGCAGCTTGGGGTCGACCAGGATGGGATGAATGTGTGGCATATACTGGTAAGTAAAATCTTAATTGTCCCCCGCCTTTCGAAGAAAGCAGGGGACTATTAAAATGGGTTCATCGGTCTGTCTGTCCATCCGTCTGTCCGTCACACTTTTTGGGACACAATAACTCTTTCTAATTGAGCTAGAATGTTCAAACTTGGTGATGGCGTTTTATTAGGTCGTTGCCTTGATGGAGTTCGAAGATGAGCATTTTCTGCTTAGGGTAAGCAGAGATAAGCAGTTTGATTGGTTGATGCTTTGGGACACGATAACTTTGGTTCTAACTTGGTGTAGGGTTTCATTACATCAATACCTTGACTAAGTTCGATAATGAGCATTTTCTGCTCAGGGTAAGCAGAGTGATAAGCAATTTTATTGGTTGTGACTTTGGAACACAATAACTCTCCTTCTAATTGAGGTAGAATGTTCAAACTTGTTGTAGGCGTTCATTAGGTCAATGCCTTGATGGAGTTCGAAGATGAGCATTTTCTGCTTAGAGTAAACAGAGATAAGCAATCTGATGGTTTGATTCTTTCGGGCACGATAATTTTGGTTATAATGAAGTGAGAGCGATGAAACTCTTAATATAGATTCATTATATCATTACCTTGATGTGTCATCTATTTATTTTGGAATTTCGGCGGGGGACCTCAGCCTCACTGTTGGCTTGTTTACATTAAAACTGATTGATTTGCTTATTTACATCAGGTTGATAAAATAAAATTCAAGCAAAAATTTTAACTTATTATTTCAATTATTTGACTTGCTCATAACATAAAAAGTTTCACATGATCAGCAGTAGCAAGGGAAGCAACTACTGGAATCTCAGAGGTTGACTCATTTAGCAGAAAGGCAAAAGTTCTGAAATCAAAACATTTAGATTTTATGGACCTATCAGAGTTATGTAAGTCAAATGCACACGATAAATTCAAAGAGAATTATAAAAAAAGATGACAGTTAATTTAATTTTTTCCACAGAAGAATATCTTTCGAATATATTCTTGATGTAGGAGTTCATATATTGATTGAATCATTGATATGTTACAACTGCCAATGTATAACTGAAATAAGATCAGTTCTTAAAGATATATTATGTGAGATTTAGATAAAGAGCTGACGATTTTTGCTATAATAGCTCAAAAATAGATAATGTAAAATGAAAATATTGAAAATTTCATTCAAATTACTTCATTCTGAGCCAAGTTATCACTGTTTGTAGTTTTGACAAGATGTGTGCGTTGTACTAACCAGGGCCCTGGTACATTCAAGACTTAGCTTCGCTTTCCTATTTTGAAATTAAATATTTAAATGCCGAACCATTCTAATCTAGTTAAAATCTCGAGTATCCAATGCCATTGAGAGTTGATTATGGTCTTGTTTTGCTAATAAATGTCTAATAGTTAGTTTAGATAACATTTTAGGCCTAAATAAAGACCTGCAATAGGCAGATTTAGCTCTTGCATAATGTGTGTTTAATCTTATTTTTTCAGTACCATTGATTCGACACATGCAGTCTAGAATACTTATACCAACTCCTTTTTCTCCCCTGCAGTAACACGATGCCAGGTGACAATAGATGATCATGCACTGTAAATAAAGATAATAGAAATGTGTGGATTTTAAGATAGGTAACTTTTTTTTTTTTACAAAAAAAGTAAAAAAAAAGTAATAAAGATGTATATTGTTTTGAGTAGACTGTGACAAAAACACAAAATATCAACAATAATTCTGTTGTTTTATGTTTTAAAGTGGATTGTTTACAAATAATTTGTAAACTAACAAATGTCATTTTGATAGACTGGAGAAATACTTTATTGAGATGAGTAATGATTTATAGAATGATGTTGTGAGGTGAAAACTTATCGGTTATATGGTAATAACAGTATTACAAATATGTTTAATTTGCAAGGAGCTTAATTACTTTAAAGATTATACAAAAGCAGGTACATTTGAGATAGATTCTTTAAATTTTAAATTTTGTACAGTCAAAATAGGAAAACTTATTGTTGTACTTTATGATATGACAAAACACAGACCAGGACCTCACTAGTATGTGGCTGATTCTTTATACAAAGGTTTTCACAAGAACAGCTCCCTTAATTATATAATTACTTTTAACACATTACAGTGACACTATATAGAATCTTTGTAATTGGTTGTATTTTTTATAATGAATTGCTGATACAATCAGATTTATAGAGGGAGAACATTTTGCAAGATTTAATAAATTTCAGATTTTTATAAATTTAAAAAAAAAAATATAATTTAGAAATAAGTGTTTGATTTGTGTGTTGTTAGTGCCTTTAATTGATTAAATATTTATGATATTAATCATTTTACACATGAATTATATTTGAATTTGTTGAGAAGTTCATTGTATAAATGTTGAAATGTGTGAGTTGTTAATTAACATTTGGTTTAAACAATATTGGTGTCAGTCATTATCACATATGTGATAGAACTGGTTAAACACATTTAAAATATAATTTTAACACAGAGATCATTGCAACGATAGATGAGTAATGAAGGTTTCAACAAACGGAAGTGACGAATGCAAAAGGAAAACACAAGTTATCCTTCTATATAACTGACAAGTGATAACAGATACACAGGCGAATTTCTGCTCACTAATAATTCCTTTGAGGACCAAAAGTTGTTGTGTGAAACTGTGAAAGGATATCTGACAATTCGAAACTGAAATTGACTGTCACTAGAAAAGAGAAAACGAGAAAGTATAGAAAAAGTCTGTGCATTACCATGTTTTTATTAAGTATAGAATGAATAAAAACAAGTGAATGTACAGAAGATTTCTATTTTTCTTGTGTTCTCCTATCTAGTGACAGTCAATTTCTGTTTTGAATTGTCAGATATCCTCCCACAGTTTCCACACAACAACTATTGACTATTGGTCTTGGAAGGAATTATTAGTTTGCAGAAATTCGCCCATGCATTTGTTATCACTCATCCACTCATCACTTCCGCTTGTTGAAACCTTCATTAAGCATCTATCTTTTATCGTAGCAATGATCTCTGTGTTAAAATTATATTTGGAACGTGTTTAACGAGTTCTATCACATGTGATAACGACTGACATCAATATTGTCCTTTAAGTGTGCCAAATAAGTCATACTGTAAAATATTTAATTTTAATTAATCTCATCTATGTATATTAAACTGGAGGCTGGGAAAGCTTGTATGTACAGGTTCTCTAGAGATTTTGAATGTTTGGAGAAAACTTAAGATGACAACTCTCAAAATCAAAATTAATTAAGATGGCTAGACCCCCTTGATCTAGGTCAAAACTAAAATTGTTATTTGCTTTTTATTTTATTTTTATTGTGAGCAGAGAGTCAGTGAGATATAATATATTATTATGTATTCAGCAGTCAATAATATAAGCTAGAACTGAAATTAATAAATAAACTGCTCATTGGTCCTCCATCACTAATCAAAGTGACGTACTGAGATAAACCCAATTCAACATTTATTTTTGACTCAAATCAAATTGATTTAAAAGAGGTTTACTGTTTGTTGAAGATCTCAGGGGTAGCTTAGGTTTAAGTGACTTAAAATTTGGCTTTCGAATTTCACGTCACCTTTGGTAGATAAAATATTTTTGTGTATATGTAAATGATGTTGGTTCTGTATTCAATGTTATATAGGAGAGAATATACTTTTAGAGATTAAATGGATGAATATATCACCACTGAAGATATAATTCTTCGGTGGGAAAGATTATGTATTTGTTTTTTTTTTAATCTTTTAATGTATATTGACCATTTTACTGGCATGGAGAGAGATGTTTTTTTTCCCCCACTTCCTCACATTAAACACGGAAATAATATGTCATGGTTTAAAATTGTCAAAATATCTTTAGTGCTAACTTTAGAGGGAGCTGTTATTGGGGAAGAAATGGGTAAAGGCTTCGTCATTGGAAGATTTATTGCATCAGTTTTTTAAAGACAACTGAGACAGTGGGGATCACACTAGAATTTTTTTTTTTTGTTCGCAGCTTTTTAGTGACAAGCTTACGAAAACAAATACCATGTACAGTTGGCGCCAAAGGGTGGGGTGGGGTACATATCTGTTTCAGAAACATGCTGCCCATATTAAATAGTTCAATAATAGATTATGAAAAATGAATATATTGAAACTTTCATTTAAAAAATTACTTTATTTCATAGTTCAATTTTTTTAATTCGTGTAGGTGTTCTAATTTTAATCTCAGCCATCCGATTGTCTAGAGATTTTAGTATAGGCTTGTGTAAATAAATGTCTAAATGAATAGTTTATATAACATTTGAGGTCAAAATAAAGAACATCAATATGCATATTTTACTTTTACATAATGAATCTTAAAGAGCACATAAGATGGGTGACATTACTTTTCGGTACGTATAGCCAATTGTTACTACATCCACTTTACGGCAAGTTTACACCAATCTGATTAACATTAATTTGGTTATTTTCACTCAAAGTTGCAAAAAGAGACCTCCCATAAAAATGACTTTGCTAATTATCGAAAACACTCTTAATCCCCTCAGACGCCAGTGACGTCCCAGTGACCGAATGCATATTTGGAATCTTCATTCCTTAATTACCTATATACAGCCTGCATATGTATTCATTAACACCTGACTGATTCCTTAATCCCCAAACAATTAAATAAAATAATTGATTACGGAATAATTTGTTTTGTAATTTATTTTAATTTAACACCCATTTTAGCATTTGTTTCATAATGTCCCGCCGTCTCTTCTCACGAGAATGATATTAAAACTGTGGTTTGAAGTGACTTTCTGATAAGAGTCCTTCTACCATCGTGTGCAATCCAAACGATTTGATATACATTTCCGCCAGAAGAGTATTGTGGTTCTAATTTCCCCAAGTAAAAGAGTACAGGAGTAAAAAGATGTGTTCATGCAAAATGTATCGTATAAGTCAAACATGATTGAAATGCGACTTGTAAATGACAATCCGTTATCAGAGTAGCCAACTATTGAAATAAAAATTGAACCATGTGTTAGTCCCAAAATTACCTTTTGTGTGTGTTCCAGCCACGAAATACAGAGAGAGAGAGAGAGTTTGCACGAGCTGTCACACGGACTAGGTTTCGGGATATTTTCAATATCTCCTACAGGGCGAGTGTTCAGTCATGTAGTGATTGGTATCCAGTCGCGTTCTCCGAAAAGTTGCCCAGAAAAATTTACTGGAAAGTCAAAAAGTTTCCACAAGAGCCAGTAGACCTGTTCCTGAACGTAGAGGGCGGGTGTAAAGAGACTTAGTTGTCCAGTCTTCACTATTTGTGATAGAATTATCTATGTCAATAAAAACTGTTATGACGTGTAGACAATTGTGTGTTTGAACCTATTTGTACTTGCGTAAGGAGTTTTTGACTGTATCAATTGTAGCGTTAAACGCATTTTAAGGGTACGACATTTGTAGCTAAGTGGCGACTTATCACCATTCTAAATTTGTTCGATGTTCATGCTAAATATGTAAAGCGTCAATGAAGAGGACTGTTTTCATTTGAATAATAGAAATAAAAACTTACCCTGAACAAATATAGAAGTTAGATTATACATTGTCTTAACTTATAAATTACATGAATAGACGATATTACATTAACAAATTTTGAATCTAATACACCGCCAAACACAACTGATCAGCAGTGAATATTATAATATAATAATAATAATATCTTTATTTTCAAAGGTGAAAAATTAGGCTTAAAGCCTGTTTACAATTTTATAACAAAGGAATGAAAAAGACAGTAACAGAACAAGACACTTAACAAATACTCACACACAAAACATTCAAATATATACTGATAAGCTAAATAGTTTAACTTCAAAACTAAAAGTAATATGATAGATAATATTATGTAGTAAGTAGTTGATATATTAAATATAGGCTACAGGTTAAGAAGAAGAAATAACATGCCTAGTGATATTTTTCTTAAATAAATTTCGCTAGACCGCAACAATCACTGATAAGGATGACATCGATGCGACTTAATGAGCCACAAATATTAACTTTTTTCCTCCGACAAATTAAATTCTAAAACATTTTTTTATGTATTAGAAAAATAAATAACGACGTTTGAGGTATTTGTAGGTATAAATTATTTCCTATTTAGTGTAAATGGGTATTAAAATGAGTAAAAGGCTCCATTCCGCCCGAAACAGTAACCTCTTATGTAAACAATGCACGCGCCATTGAGTCAATGATTGACGCCGTGTGATGAGACGTCAAGTGTTGAATGGAGTCATCTTTTACAGAGATATTAGAAGACTATTGTTAATCCCTGTGAAATAGATTGCGCCAAACAGTCACTTCCGCTTTGTGTATATAGTATATTTCTTATATGTTTTGTTTCGTAGTTTCAATGCCCCCCCCCCCCTCAATCAGAAAGCCTTAAATGTATTTATTTAAGTTTAACAGATTTGCACAGTATAATGTTCAATTTACGTGTACGAAATTTTTGGGTGTTCTTTGTGAAAAGGGTTTAAAAATGGTTGTGGGTTGTATTCGTACTCCTACAACTTGCATTTTTCTAATAGATTATCAAGTACAAAGGTTGTAAAACGTACATAGGAAAATAGTTCTTAACCCTTGTCCAAATAACCATAAAAAAAATAATTTAAAAATCAGACAAAATATTTGTGAAAGGAATAATCCTTATCATATTTATTTAAATATTTCCCCAGAAATCTTTGAATCAAGGGTCACAGAATTCAATACTGGAACGATCAGCCGAGTTTCCCCCAATGCAGATCGAAATGTTGGCAGGCCCGTAACTGGGGGGGGGGGGGCATAGAAACAATAGATATACATTGTCCGTCAATTTTACAGCATCCCCCTCGTTGCTCTGAGCTAGTTACGGCCCTGAATGTTGGCATATCTTTAATAAGGCTGAGTGACAATTTAAAACGACCCCTAAGTCTAAGTGTCACCAAGGATGGACTGTTCAGGAGTC